TAAGGCAAGTTAAAAGTACATCATGGAGTTTTCAATATTAGAAGTTGGAGAAACAGTCAACCAATCAGAGCTTTGTAGCTCTGTAGGAGTTTAGATGATCAGTGTTATCTTCCTGCATATACTGTATATTTAATGCATCACTCACAAGGCTGTTGTTCCACCTGCAACCTGCTGGGAGCATTAAAAAACACAACTCCAAGCTCTGGGGAGATGAGCCTCCTAGACAAATCATCTGTTCAAATACAAGAGAAATACACAATCAAACAGCACTACAGAGAAATCTCAACATCAATACAACATTTCCTCATTACATTATCATCTTGCTGTAGGAACATCAGTAACATCATCTTTGTTTCTTACCTTTGACATTGGAGCTCAACTCCTGCTCAGCCACCTTCCTCTCCAGGAAGGTGTTGACCCCAGGCAGGTTCTCTGTCCCAATGTGCGTCAACAAAACCGCATCAACACGATCAAGGTGGCGGACCAGCTTCCAGAAACAGGCCTGAGGGTCCGAGCCGCCGTCCATCAGCACTGTGAACCCGTTAACAGCAAAGAAGGCACAGTCACCACGGCCGGCAGGGAACACGTAGCAGCAGGGGCGGGACAGCTTGAGGAAACCGACAGTGGTAGGAGGAGGCAGGAGGTCAAAGGGGGATGGGGGACAAAGGGTACCAGAGATGAGGGAGGTGAATTCCCCCAGGGCCTCCATGGCAGGCAGCTCCTCTGGGGGATTGATGTAGAGTGTGAAAGGTCCTTGCAGAGGCTGGTTCCCCAAGAGAGTCTTTCTCCACTGGCCAATGTTGGGACAGCTGAGGGTCAGACTGGGTTTGGAGGAGGAGGCAGAACTCCCTTGCTCTATGAACTGAAGGCAGAGACAACATCCAGTATTTTTTTTTCTTTTACAGTACTGTAGATTTGCAATACTTTAGAATATAGGCCAACCATAAAACTGTAGATACACTATACTGACTGGGCCAATATTGGCTGATATTAGCTTATCACACATATATTGGTATTAGGATATATGAGTGATCAATACGGAACACAGAGTTGTTGGGGCGGCTGTGGCTCAGGTGGTAGAACGGTTGTCCTCTAACCAGAAGGTCGTTCTCCCTAGTCCGTATGTTGAAGTGTCTTTGGGCAAGACACTGAACCCTAAGTTGTTCCTGCCAGAGCAGGGACAGTACTGCTATCAATGTGTGAGCTGGTGCTGCAAATGGCTGCCTCAGTTCTGTACTGGAGACAAATTCCTTGTGTGTGTAACATACTTGGCCAATAAAAGTGATTTTATATATATAAATGTGAGCCTAGTGTCAATGTAAAGTATATGGTAATTGGTAGTGAAAACTATTGTTTCTTGCAACTCTAAAATAAGCCTAAATTTGCTGGTGTTCAAGGGTTAACAATAATATATGGCATATAGCATTTCTACACAAAAGATAAAAGTGGAGAAGGTAAATTATCATTACCTGCTCTATTAATATTTGCTTCAGTTGCTGGGGTGAGAACAGTCCTCTGTGAAGCAGCAGCTCTCCACTCTCTTCCACACTTTGACCGGCCAAGATCAACAGCTTATGGGCCGATTCCCTCGACAGGAGAGCAAACACCTGGCCAAGCGAAAGACATGGTGCCATGTGTTTTGTAGTGGTGACTCGCAACAATACCAGCTTCTTAATTGTGAGTATTTACTGCTTTCTGTTTTATATTATTAAAAATGGAACATCTTTGGGGTTTGGGGCCTTCAGCCAGACAAAACAAGCAATTTGCAGATGTCACTTCCTGCTATGGGAAATTGTAACTCTAAAATATTAGTTGATCCTAATCAATTATATCAGATGTAACTATTTTAGTGTAGTTGCATGACACTATAATTAATCATGTGAAAATCATGATCAAGTGTCACATATGTTTTAAAACTTCAAGACAAAGTACCAGAAAACAGATATGCAAGCAAAATGATGCTCCTTGGTTTCAGATCTCGTGTGGACTTGTGCCAGTTTATCGCTCAAATAATGTGATTAAAAATTTGTCAAAATCAGGATAATTGTATAACTGCCTCTGTATGTTTAAGTTGGTCAACTATCCCCAAAGAACTTGGTGTATCTCTGAAGGACCCAGGATTTCTACCCTCACCTCTGACTGAACCTGTTCTTGAGATGGACTGATTAGCACCTGAGTGTCCAACACTCTGCTGCTGTGGCGCAGACACTTCTGCCCTGAGAAGGCAGAGAGAAAAACAAAAGATAGAAGAGGACAGAGAGGCAAACAAGAGAGTCACAGCTAATGGACTCAGAAAACAGCAGTGGGCAAGAGGCCAGAAGCAGATAAGGCGTGACTTAAAGAAGTAATAGGGAAAGTGAACTGAGATAACTGGGTGGGCAACTGAAGAAAGAGGAAGGAAGACAAGAGGAACAGCTGAGACAGAGGGACTGTCTGAGTATGAGATGCCAAGTTTACTCAGCCTGCAGTGAATGTCTAGGCCGAGGGGAACTGGGTGAACGCCTGAGGATATAGAGGCAAATGCAGCCTACTGGAAAATAATGGCCCAAATCTGAGCAAAACGTTCTTTAACATTAAATTAGAAACAAAATAAGGAAAGCAAAAACAATTGCTATTCCTCACTGCTGCACTAGTTTGGTGGGGGAAGAGCTTGGCTGCAGGTCTCTATTGTTTTCTCTCCATAGGGCCTGCCCATGTCTAACAATCATCCAACTGCTCCTCCACTTTCCTTCCTTCCTTGTTGACCCTAGACCAGCCGAAATGGCGGGTTACCATGGAGATGGATCTTTCTGTAGGGTCAAAACGTTTGTGCATAAATGATCTTTTACTTACCTGCAACCTTGAACGACGCCGTATGATGGGACAAGAATTCTTGGAGATGACGATTCAGATTACAGGATTTCAAGTCGACATCCCATGACCGAATACCTGACAACACAAGTGGTCACATGGTGCGACTCTTTTCCTTTTCCGTCTCCTCATTTGCACTATATCTGTACTAAGTTTGGTTTGTTCTGCTCTGATATGATTTGGTTTCATTATGTCTTAACATATGCATAACATACTTTAAAAATTATTCACAAAAGAGAAGAACAAGAAAAGCAAAACAAAAGACAGATTCCATCTAACATGTGGCCTGGGTGTGGAGAAACACAAAATCTAAAATGTTATAAATAAATTTTAAACAAAAACTAAATAGCATGTAACACTAGCAAGGTGTGGTGCATACATTAAAGCCTGACATGACACAGGACAAAATCAAAGACTTCTGTGGCAACACATGATAGAACTGGCCTATGTGAAAGTTGATTTTTTTTTATTACACAGTACAAATAGTACATTTATGTTAAAATACTGCTCTAATTTTTCTTTGAATAAAACATTTTCCACCTGTTTTAAAAAGTGTAATACATTTAGAGTGTCTTGTGTAATCTAACTGCTCCATAATCTACCATATCCATGAATTTTACTAACATTTGAATATGCCTACTTTTATGCCTATGCTAATTCACAACAAATATCTGTTTTATATTCCTCACTCTCTGTATCTGCCCTTGTGTTTCAGTTTCTGTGCCCCCATCTACAGCAATTAAGCAAATGTCCCTTTCTTGTCCATAGCTGTCAGACAGTATGTTAGGCTGTGTCATCATCGCATGCCTTGTTATTACTATAGTTATACAGTCGCTTTATATCCACTGTCACTAGGTGCATCAACACATAATGGTTAATGGCACATCGTTTGGTGGCTGTGCGCTGACTGAATATCCGCCCTGCAACATTTGCCCATTTCTCCTTACATAACGATAAACTGAGGCCAAAAGCAAACCACCAGCCCCAGGCTTTTAATTATAATGTACCCAGAGGGATGAGGTGATGCTGGTGGTGGAGCATCGTCAGATGACGCACCCTCGACCAGTAGGGTGAATAAAATTACATAAATACCGCACTAGATCAGTGTTGCGTTCTCGGCGATGAATAGGCGACAAGAATTTGCAAGAATCTTGATTCTTATCTGAATCTTGAGAAAAGCAAAATGGAATAGCAAGAACAGCTATGAGAGGCAGGCTGATATAAACGTACCTCGTTCAATCTCCTTGCTGATGTGTCCGTTCTGTCTGTGATGAGCAGTCCGCCCGATAATGATGAGCAGGGAGTATTTGTGGAGGCTGAAGTCAGGGTTTGCGGTCGCATAGCGCCTCGGCTCCTCCTGGACCTCCCTCCCCAGCACCCGGCTGGACGCCATATTGGAAATTTGCACTTGGGTGTGATGTCATTGAAAAACGCTGCCAGCACCTTTTTTTGCAGAGAGTTGACAGCTGCTGTGCTGGAATGCGACCGCGCATTAGTAAATGAGTAGGAAGGATGTTGAATTATTGATGACACGTAGAAAAGGAATCAATATTTTTTTCTTTATTGTTATCCTTGGAGAGCAGCCATTTAATCATAAGCAATTGACCAACAACTGACTTTTATGGAACCATTAAAAAATCCAGCTGATAACAGATTTTTTCATAGTACTATAGATTTAAGTCTGTCTTTACCTTGGACGCACATAGACCATTGAATTCAAAAGCTCATTTACTAACCTAAAAATACAAATGTTTTAGGAAACCATATGCTATCTTCTTCTATAAAGAAAAACAACAAACAAAAACAAACATACTGTATGAAAAAAGGGACTGATGACAACACGAACACCTTTACAAATAGAAATAATTTCCCCATGACCACGAACTTATACTGACAAGAACTATTCAACACATATTCCAACACACTGCAAAGCTTATAAAAGAAAAACACCTTTTATGAATCATACGTTACATCGCATTTTTATTTTTGTCCCAATGAGAATGACAATATAGCAGCTCTCCCTGCCATAGCTCACATGAAGAAGAGGGCGTGTTTGTGTCACTCCAAACCCCTAAATATCCTTCTGTCATTTCTTGCACCTCTTATGTTTTCCCCTCTTCATAAACATTTAAGAACATAAAAATTACAGGAAGTTCCCCGTGGACAGCTGCACAGCGTACCAATACGCGCGCCTTTACGCACGGCGCATGGCTCCCCTGCGTCACACTGGAAAGATAAAAACACCGTAAATTCATGAAAATGCGGATATATGTTATAGATTTATTTTATTAATCAAACCTTATGAGTATAACGGTATCATATGCTATAATTAAATTTCCAAAAGCTCTACCACATTTCTAGATAATAGCCTATTAATAATATAGAATAGCCTGTATAAAACAATGTAAAGTATAAATATACAGGCGGATGTTAAAGTTGATAAAGTACTCATTTCCAGCGCCGAAAATACAATTAAATAAACATTTCAAACTGCTTTACAGTTATTTGTTTTACATTTGGTGTACTTACCGAAGGCAACCAGCCAAACTTTTTCTCTAAGGGCATCTCTTTGCTCCTCAGCTTCTCCAGAACCTCTTGTAACGCGTCAATCTGTATAGGAAAAATGCATAAAGTTGAAATGTCATAAAAGAATTATTAGACAAACTAACAGCATGTTCATTCTGGGGAGTAAAACATTATCACACTTTAATTTAAACGTTCGACATCTCAGACAGTTTGGGGCTACGTTTTATCCTTTAAAATAAAATGGTTAGAGAGAATGAAACTTTTCCATAAAGCATCAGTGTTCTCCGTTAACTGACGTGACACGTTTCGCATCCCTTATAAAGTCTCTCACCAGCTCTTTCTCCTGTTGGGTTTTCAGAGGAAAATCCATCGAGCGCGTCTCTAGCGAGGAGTCCTCCGCACCAGCGAGCCACAGGTAGGCGCAGGAGCAGGTGACCACGAGGAGAAGAGTCCGGGCGAGGACCATGGTGCTGAAATGCAAACAGGAGGTCTTTCTCTTCAGCGGGTGGATGTCTGCAGGGTTTGGAGGTCTCCTGTGCAAAGACACCCTCTTTATAGCTGCATTGGAGGTGCTATTGACATCAGCCAGCCTCTGAAATATTCATGGAAACTTTGACATGGGTGACACTGCTCAACACCTTTGTGTGTTTAACAGGAAGGGGTTTGACAGGATGAAAGCAAGGTCGGTGAAAAGTGGATTTACATTTTATAAAACATATTTGACAAAGTGATGTAGAGGCTGAATAATATACATTTCTTTCCCTGATATTTTTAACACAAGATTCCAATTTACTACATCGTGGCATAGGAGCAGTAAAATTGGTTTGTGTTTTTATTTTAATATACTTTGCACAAATTAAGCCTTTCAGTTAAACATACTGTATATTTGATTCACAGATGAGTAATTACGATGTGTGAATTAAAGCATCACTGAACAAAACTGAATCTGAATATGAAACTGTCAAACCTTTGAGAGTACCACATGTAAACAGAGATCTTTTCTGTTCTGTTGCTAATCTATTCTGCCTGATCTTCTTATGCTCCATAAATCCTTTAAAGATATCATAGCTCAGGTTAACCCACAGTGACATCAATCTGTAATCAGGATTCAATTTCCTCTTGTATGACCTTAACCGGCTCCTAGAGCAATGTTCATACATGTGTGCGGCTGACAAGCTTGTGTTGAGACACCAACCCATTTCACTGCCAATACCCCTGAGTGGAAATCCCTTCACCATTTTGACCATGATCTCTTTTACTGACAGATAAAGACAAATGACCAAAGTGAGGCAGTGGTCAAAGGCTATGACTCATTCATGTTGAATAAATGCAATGGACTAATACATTTAAAGGGTTGTGTTGGTTTGACATAATGTTTATGTTGTTTTTGGCAAAACCAATTCAACATATACTTGCAGATATATAAATATTCTGAAGTATTTGTGTTTGTCAGACATTCAGCACATTGTATAACACTGCCATAAGCCATACATTGGGACCTCATTTCAGCGTGTGATGTGGGTTCAGTGAAGTGAAGAGCAGATAGACTGTGATGTAACTGAAAATGTAAAATTTTATTTTTACAGTATTTACACATAGAGATGCTGTGGTCTATATAAGAAACTGTCGATTTATATTAAGTTAAACCTGTTGAAGAGATTTACAAAGAAAAGCACGTATTAATAATAATCTATTTGTGTAATAACTTAAATTTATTGTGTAATTATGGTCTTACAGAATATTTACTTCATTTATTTTTCTGGCTATACGTATGTCCTCTCATACATTTTTAAATGTGCTCAGGAAATGTTTTCGGAAATAAAATCGCAGTTTTTTGTAAATCTTTATTGTTGATGTTACTGTAGTCACCTGTTCCACAGGGGGCAGCAGCACACTTTGAAGTATTTTGTAGTCCGGAAGTAAAGAAGAAACACCCGGAAGTTCACAGTGCACCATAAGCATCCATGGTAGCGGTGTTGTAGAAATAGCTTTTAGTCTGTTTCTTCCAACGTTTTCTTCTCCTCTTTGAGTTCCCAGCCCAGACAACAATGTCCGAAAGAAAAGTGTTAAATGTAAGTACATGCCCGTCAATAGCGTGTTTCTCTTAGCTAAGTTTAGCCTATAAGCTGTATAAGAAATCAGGCAGGCTAATGGTAGCATTGAAGCTAACTAATTTGCGATGATAATATTACGCTACTTATGTTCGTATATGACAGCCACATTACATTATGTGTTAGCTACGATAGGTTTTTGTAGAAATCAAGCTTTCTTGTTTCTACTGCCATCGCATTCTTACACAGTTAAGTTTCATTACTAGTTCAGACTTTAGTAGCTGACGTGTGCTTTCTCTTCCACAGAAATACTACCCTCCGGATTTTGATCCGTCCAAAATCCCAAAGCTCAAACTCCCCAAAGATCGACAATATGTGGTCAGATTGATGGCCCCATTCAATATGAGGTATGTTTGGTTCATCCATGTGTGCTACTGTGCGTTTCAGCACCCGTTTTACTCGCAACATACTTCGCTTTCTTTTATTACTACACAAAGTCTGGTTATTGAATTCACTTATATAAAAAACTAGTAGGTTATTACCAGTAGACGCTATTTTTAATTTACCTCAAACTTATATTTGGCATGCACACTGAAAACTAGTCACTATCAGTTATGTTGATATAATGGTTTGGCTAAGCTCTAGATCTTGTTTCAAGAACCTAGTAAAAAGATGTGAGGTATTTTTTTTATGCATATCTGTTTTTATCTGGTACACCTGGTTCAAGAGATAACATGGTAAATAGATATTTATTTCCAACATGGTCACAGGAAATTAATCCTAAATAAGCCCACTCAGTTTCAATGCTGCATTCAAAGTAATCTTTGGTAATCATTGGCTGTCAGTGATTGTGGTTGTATTTACAGTAGGACCAGGGCTACCTCATACAGCAAGGACTGTCTGGCCCCTGTAACTAAGTTATGTGACTGTGGTGTCATCAGCATCACCTCTCTGGTTGTTTGCAGGTGTAAAACATGTGGCGAGTACATCTATAAAGGGAAGAAGTTCAATGCACGTAAAGAGACTGTTCAGAATGAGCTGTACATGGGACTGCCCATCTTTCGTTTCTACATCAAATGTACTCGGTGTCTTGCTGAGATTACATTTAAGGTGAGAGTATTTAATGGCCTGATTATTATAGTGATATTTTTTGAAATGAGACAAGTCAGGTATCTGAAGGTGAATATAGAACAAGGTCTGTACTATTCTGAGATTGCAACATCTCGGCCATCATGCATGAAATATTTTCTCACAGTCACCTCTCATGCTGTGACTATAGACTGACCCAGAGAACACAGACTATGCAATGGAGCATGGCGCAACGCGAAACTTCCAGGCAGAGAAACTGATTGAGGAAGAGGAGAAGAGAATACAGCAGGAGAGAGAAGAGGAGGAACTGAACAACCCCATGAAGGTCAGTGTGTAAATGCCAGTTTCTGCTGCGTTACTGTGCAATATTCAAGCATTGTTAATGAGGAGTTAAATGGTTTCCCAATCTTCTGTCAGGTGTTGGAGAATCGCACAAAGGATTCCAAGATGGAGATGGAGGTTTTGGAGAATCTCCAGGAGCTAAAGGAGTTGAACCAGAGGCAGGCTCTGGTGGACTTCGAGGGAATGATCAGCCAGTACAGAGAGATGGAAAAGAGAGAGAAGGAAAGGGAGAAAGAAGAGGATGAGCAAGAGACAAAGTGAGTGGGGAAAGTTCATATAAACAATAGGCAGTTAAGCAAATTTAAAACTTTAATATATAGTGTATTGTACAATCAAAGCTGCATATTTACTCTAAACTCAGAGATAATTTGAGAATTATTACATTGGTTCTCACTGACATGACCTGATCTGGGACCTTAATCTTTGGCTGTGTCTTAATAGGGTTTTTCATGGGTATTGTAATAATCAGTGTAAACACTGTGCAATGTCATTAAACAGCAAATTTCGAACTGAATGAGACATTTGTTTCACAGAGAAATGTTGGAGCGTGCTCTTGTGAAAAGACTTAGAGACTCTGATTCAGAGGAAGAAGAGGAGAGCAGCAGCAAGTCCAGCACAGATAAACCAACAGACATCCTCACCACTGACAAACCCACAGAGATGCAGGTATGATTGACCTTTCATATAGGACCGATATTTGGCAAGGTTTGTTTAAGACTAATTTAATACCAGATTGCTTGATTGAATTATTGGTGTACTATATGGAACATTAGTAGTTGTTTAAACATTTCAGATCAGTATGGGTATGATGAGGCAAATAGTAAAAAAACTAATCAGAAAAACTTAAAGAATATGGTGTGAGTAGGATGGATTGCTTCATGTTGTGTTTCCACAGGGAGACACAGCTGGAGGAGGGAAGAGAGCCAGGGTGGAGAGCTGGGAGAGGAGTGTGGGGACACTGGGTGGTGGAAGGGCACTAGGGTCCCTGGTGGTACGAAAGAAACCACCAGCAGCAGCTGTCAACAAACCCAGCCCAGTCGCTGCTGCTGCTCCCACTTCAACAAGAGGTAACACATCAGTGTCCTGTACATTTTAGGACTTCATGAGTACTGCTAATGACCATTTTTGCCTAGTGTTCCCATGAGGATATACTGTATGTGACTTTTTTTGTGGATGTATTTTGGATAGTAGTTTTTGGAACACACAACTCAGTTTTACCCCTTGTTTGCATCCTCCATCAAACGTTTGTGTATGATTTGAAAGGCGCAATCACTGTGTATCTTGCGTTACAGATTCAAAGGCATCGACGACTGACTCAACAAATGCTTCAAAGGCCGTCACCACACAGAATGGGTCGTCATCTCTCAGCCTGCTGGGGGCGTATTCAGACAGTGACAGCAATGACAGCGAATGAGAAGATGACATCTTGAGTGACTGACACACAATTGTATGAATGATGCAGAATGGAATATAACAAGGACGTTCTTGTAATGCTGTACAGAAATCAAAACTATGTACAAAGCTGTCATGTTAAACCTTTCTATAAAACAGCCTGCAGCTATATATAAGGAGGCTTGAGTAGAGCTGCTCACTGCATGGCCCATCACGGTCACTGTCATTGTCAGTCTACCTGTTCACCTACTTCGACGCTGCTGTATTGCAGACATCGCTGTTGAGCCATCATCATTGTTGCTGATAAATGCCCTGTGAGGTTGGAGCACAACTACACATGCACAGAGTACACACTTCCAGTAAATATAAACAAACAATGACACAAAACGCTCACAGGAGTGCACAGACATTGGACTCTGCACACACTTTCTGTGAGAAGCACAGGATGTTTTTTTCCCCTTTGGTCAAGCACTATTGGCTGTTGTGCTAGTCTCCTTGATAGCTAATACTTTGAGATAAAGAGCAGTGTACAGCAAACTGGTCATTCCAAAAGAAAGTAAGCTGTGGCCTACAGAATGATATTCACACTTGTAACAGTTAAACAGGAAGTAGTGTATTCAGTTAGAGATAAGGGGTCACCCTGGTGGATGAGTGTGTAGCAAGTTGACGTTCACCTTTTTATAACAATATTTGTAAGATTTCTGGATGCTCCTTCCCCAAACATGACAGTACCTTAGTTGGCACCTGCAGATATTAACAAGTCTTCTAAATTAAATGACAAAATGAATTTCTCATCATTTGTCTTTTGATAAATGAGATTTATGAATGATCATAGCAACATGGCTAGGTTTGGATTAAAATAGATCTATGTTGTCATGCTTACAGTAACTGTTAGTTCATGTTAGGGAATTATTGTTGTCATGTCATATGGAAGTGGGAAATAAACAGTGATCTCCTGTTGTTTGGTGAAGGGGTTGCTTTATCATTGTTATGGAACTGTAGATGTTCAGACTTAAATAATTTCCTCTTTTAACTTGTATACAACAGTTTCCCCCAATAGTCCAGTCAGTGGAAGACAGGGCTCCAGTGATCAATATGAAACACGTTTGTTAACCACACCCCTCTTAGATACACATAGTAATTCCATGAAGATGCCAAATTGATTATAAACATATACATAGGCTACATCTTATAAACATATATGTGTGTGTGTGTTTATAAAAGCTTCAGTAATCCTTGTCAGTGAGTCCGTATGTCGGCTTACCTGAGGAGGACCCACACCTATGAAACAGGAAAACATGATTAATAAATTATTAGAAACAGTTGTTTGCTCTGTATATTTTGCACCCACAAGGTTATTTAAACATTTGAGAACACAAAGACAATACTCAGTATATAAAAATGCATATGAAAATGAGTCGAGCCAGTACTGCTGTGAGTGTGATGAGCAGCTTCTACCGTATAGAGAGACCTAAGTGGAACAAAGTATCAGATCTTAAGTAGAAATAATACCACAGTGTAAAAAAACACTGTCTTGCATGTAAAGGTCTTTGCATTCCAGGTTGTACCTAAAGTATTGCCTACCTAAAAGGGTACATACTCATACACATTGTCCCTTTTTATATAATAATTGTTGAACTATAATTATTAAGTACGAATGTGCGCCCCTCGCTTTGATGATGCATATGGTAAAGCTGGAACTGAGTTCAAGATTCAAAGATCTTTATTAATCCCAGGGTGAAACGGCTTTGTTATGTTTACTCTCAGCACAGAAAGAAAGGGAACGAACCACACTAACATAAAAACTAATAATGATGAAAAGACGTGGTGTTCAATGTACAGAAGGGACAGAATGGTGATTATTACGTACAGTATCTAAAACTTTATGTCGGCCCACCAAAAATACTTCGCCACTCCCCTTTAAGGCAGCTGTGGCAGTGAGTGTTGTGTAGCAGACAGTGTGCTCCACCGTCTGGTCTGGTCCAGTCAAGTAAAGCTAGGTGACCGACCTGCTTGGCTTAGGAGCAGGACGGAATTCACGGGTGACCATGGTTTACTTTTAGGCTAGACAGCGTTTAAATGAAACGCTGGATGGTAAAAGAAAGACAAATGGGACGAGGAGCCGCCATTGTAAAGAAAGAGAGTGAGCTTAAAGAAGTAATGTTAGCTAGCAGGTAACAGTTAACACGCTTCGATGTTACGTTAGCTGCGGTCATCCAGCTAACTTGGCTAGCTTAGCTTTGAGAGTGTGATAATATTACTTCTACGACTTTCCTTAGCCGCTAAGCTTTTAAAATAAATAACACAACAGCAAAATTGGTCAACTGCTAAGCTTGAACTGTTTGGACGTAAACACTGACCTGTGTTGAATAAGTAATTGATTGAATCCACTTCATTTACCCATAATGCTAACAGGCAATTGTCAGTGGTTTGTTGTTGTTAGCTGACTTAGTTAGCATAGCCGTCTAGCATTATTAAAACCCACTTTCTGCTCTACCTCAGAGGGAAATTTGTTTGAACACAAACAATAAACCTCACACTGACTAACTTGACAGCACACGGGTATCGTTTTGTCATTGGGCTACTATTGTGTTAATTAATCTTAGAAAAATAGCTTATTTTTAAGTCTTCAGCTTTGTTTGTAGTGATTTATGCGACATCAAAGTCAGCTAGTTAGTGTCTAAAATGTCAGAAGTGATCCCAAAGGGCAGGCAAACGTTACCAGAGTCGATAGGAATATGGCATTTGTTTAACACAGTCAGACCAAGTAGTTTATTCAATTTATAAAACAAAAGGCCAAACGTGGCTGTTGACCTTTTTTCATTTATGAAGCTGAAACAGCAAATAATTAGCATTTTTATTCAATAAAGGGCTGAATTTATTATATTATAATGAATCAAATATAATATGGAAGCAAGGCAACTCTTTCAATTCCCCTTTTATATGTCATCCTAAATGATTCAGAGCAGTCTGTTTGACACTTCATTCATAGATCCATGGCAAAGTGGCTGAAGGACTACCTAAACTTTGGCAGTAGGCGTGACCCTCCACAGCCCCCAAGGCCAGACTACATCGAGAGTGAGATTTTGAGGGCCTACAGAGCTCAGAAGGAGCTAGATTTTGAAGACCCATACCAACACTCTGATAAGGAGCACCAGAATGGTGGTTTCAGCTCCTGTAGTGCCACAATGAGCCTTCCCTCTTTTCCTGCATTTGGCTCAGTGCTGCCTAATGGTGTGGAGGTATGACATGTTTCTACAGTTATGCACGTGACTTGTGTTTTGTGTTCTTAGTACAGTGTGTCACTAGATAAATGTACTTTTCAAGAATAAAGGCTGAGCTCATATTGACCCCTGCTTGTTTAGGTGATTTTTTAAATACAGTATAATTGAAAATGTTTTGTTTACTTGTGTTATGTTTCAGGTAAAGGTGGTGTCCCCCAAACACAGACTAATTAAAGTGGACTCTCGGGAGTTTGGCCGCTGTAAAATCCCCTCAAGTCCTGTGACTGTTCAAGAAGAACCTGTGAGCATCTCTTTGTCTCACTAGCTTCCTCACAACATATACACACTCAGTTACATTTCAGAGTTAAAGCTCTTTCCTTGACACAGTTAAGTCCATCACATTGTCCCATTTAATTTGTTTCTCTTTCTTGCCCAAGGTGGTTCCTTCTGCCCCAGCAGCATCAGATGCTGACACAGACTACTCTGACCCATTTGATGCCCGTCCAGACCCACGAGCACTACCAAACTGGGAGCCCAAATCTGCACCAGCAGACTGCTGCAGCTATATGGAACCATTCGAGGCTCAGAAGATCATATCAGGTTTATTATAAGATTTCTCTCTCTGATAAGTCAGTTGAGGCTTGATTTATATAGATGGCTGCACAGTAATATACAACACTGCACACTGGAAAAACTGCTGACCCTTTTCCTTCTAAATGTCACTTTTCAGCAAAGTTTTTTTTTTTTATCATATAAACCATGTGAAGTCAGAACAAATTGGCTACCTGGGGTAATCCTGTCATTGTGTTGATTGTACTTTTGAATAGTGGAAGATTTTCCATATACTTCAACGTCATGGTGAAAATAGTACTTGTACATGCTAACTTGATGGAGCTAGGGGTTTACTGTGCCTAGAAGTTTTCCTTTTTATCACATTATCACAAGGATGCGAGTCAGCATCACTTGGCCAGTAGCCAGAGCTTGTGCAAAACACTGTTGTGTTGTGATGGATGTTTAGAGTCGAGAATTGATTTTTGGATGAGTAAAGTTCAATGAGGAGATACTAATGGACATAGGCATAGAGGCTTTTTCCTCCCCATTGTTGTCAAGTGCTTGCTCAGAGGGATTTATTGGGTTTTTTTCTCTATAATATTGTAAGGTCTGGACCTTACAATGTAAAGTGCTATGATTTTTGACTGGTGGTGGTGAAGAGGTGAAAATCTAGATGGTTGTGATGTGGAGCAGGACTTGTCATGACTTTTGTTAAGCTCCATAACAGCTGTGAGGTAAATGTATTGAAATTTAACTGGATGTACAGTAACAACAGAAAACAGACAAGGGTCTGAAACACTCACTCTGGAGGTTTAATTTGACTTGTAGGTAAATTTAGATTTTCTGGCTCTCTTTAGGCAGTTTTTGTTCCAGATGGTCAGTCACACCTTTTTCCTGCTTGTGACAAATATTTTACAGCATACCATTTACTCTCTTAAGATTTGCAGCACAGCATGTTGACTTACATGTCTGGGGGTGGAGATGGCAGCCAGTTATACGATAACCCATATGAGGAAAGGACTTGTCACTTTCCCCAAGCTGATCCACCAGCACAACAGCAAACTCAGAAAGTGGAGAGTGGACTTGGCCTGGTAGATTGCAGGGAGAGCAAGCTGCCTCAGGATGATGAGAGGCCGGCTGACGAGTATGACCAGCCCTGGGAGTGGAAAAAGGACAACATTTCTAAAGCTCTAGCAGGTAAATTGGTGCTACTGGTACTGTATTTACATTTCTGTAGCAAATGTGTGTTTGACTTGTAAACTAATCTATTTTCTATCTCTTTCTGTGGCAAACAGTTCAGTTTGAAGGGGCAGAAAGGGATTGCCCTCGAGCTCAAACAGAACAGACCAGGCTTACCAAGATGAGCACCACGTCAACCACAGGGGACTCACCTACACTCCATCTGTTTGGTGACACTCCTCCTCTACTGGGAGAGAGAGTGGATCCATCTCTGCCACTGGAGAGACAAGTGTAAGTAGACATCTGCAATATTAAAAGACAGTGCTGGCATTTCAAAACAGGAAAGCAATGGATTTTTTGCATTTTGCTTTAAAAATTACTTGCACACTTTATTGACTGAATGGTGTATGACTGAAATATTGCCACTACAGTGCTGCTGCCCCAGTGTTTTTCAAATTCAAGTAGAAAGGAGTGACGGTATCCTGTGAAGTTTTTGACCTCTAGTAGCGCTGTCGAGCAGCTGCTATGGCCAGCAAAGGCGTTGAATGCAGACGAGTGAAATTGAATGTAAACCATGCTAAATTCAAAATACTTTTATAAGACTGGCTTTGTAAATGTTTTGTGATGAAATGCATCCAGCACATTTGTTACATATCAAGGTTTTACAGTGTTTTGTTGGTTAGAACTGTGTCTAAACATAACTTCACAGGGTGATTTTAATTCTCCTGACTTGCACATCATGGTGTGTTCCAGCCACAAACATCCATATCCGGGGTATAGAGTAAAGAATCAACTAAAGAGTCGCATGACAGAAGAAACAGCAGTTGAGTGCTATCACATGAATTTAACAAAATATGTCTTTTGCTATCGTTTTTTTCTCCTGGTCACCTGCAGATGGTACCACGGAGCATTGAGCCGCTCAGAGGCAGAGACTCTACTGACTCTGTGCAAGGAGAGCTCCTACCTGGTGAGGAACAGCCAGACCTGCTGCAACGACTACTCACTCTCACTCAGGTAAACCCTGCTGCTCACATTGCAGATTAAATCATTTACATCACCACATTTGTCCATTAATACTCATTCTGTCTTAGTCAAACGAGGCTTCTTCCATCTCTCTGCCAGCTGTAGTTGTTCAGTGCTTATCCAACCTGTCTCTGTGTTTAACAATAGGCTGTACTGGATCTAAGAAAAAAGCTAACATTCTCCTCATGTTGACTTTCTTTGAAATGTCATTGCAGTAGTGTTGTCACGATACCAACATTTTGGTACCGGTACCGGTACCAAAATGTATTTCGATACTTTCGATACTTTCGATACTTTTGGATAGTTTTTCAGACAAAAAGAGAAGGCAAAAAATGTCATTACTGACTTTATTTTAATAGAAAATCATTAAATCATTTACATCACCACATTTGTCCATTAATACTCATTCTGTCTTAGTCAAACGAGGCTTCTTCCATCTCTCTGCCAGCTGTAGTTGTTCAGTGCTTATCCAACCTGTCTCTGTGTTTAACAATAGGCTGTACTGGATCTAAGAAAAAAGCTAACATTCTCCTCATGTTGACTTTCTTTGAAATGTCATTGCAGTCTCTTAAAGGGAAATTCAACCCGTGCTCTGTGCTGTTTCCAAAATTATCTGGTCCAGTTTTTCCCTCATTTGGGTATGGCTGTGGTCTGTGGGTGGTGAGAGAATCTCAGATTTGAGCCTTGAAGCAATTTGTAATTGTTCACCATTTTCTCCCACTCACTCTATTTGTGTTGCTCTTCTTTCCCCCAACCTGCAATTTTCACTGTGCAGCAGCTTTCAGGCCAAAAGAAACTGCAGGGTTGAGAGTGACCACCTGCATGTTAGGAATTGCAACATAATACAAGTTGTATATCAAATTGATGGAATACAGACAAAAGATACATCAAAACAGTGCAAACAAAATTAGTATTTGTGCTCGTGTTCTTGTTTGTGCGGGAATAACTGTTCCTATTAGAAAGCAGCAATAAAGCTGCTTTATTAATCAAGACTAGTATTTTACAGTCATTTCCAAAGGTTTCATGAAATGACATAAATGGAGTTTATTAAGTTTTTAGCAGTATCTATGGTTACAGTGCATGGCACACAAACACACTGTCTGCAATTCAGATCTGGCTGGGATCTCTTTTTTTGTCTCCTGGTGATTTTGGATGTGAGCCAGCTTATGATCCACTTTACAGGTCATGTCACAGTTAACAGTCCAGTTTTACTTGACTCTGGCAAAGAATCTTCTCTTGTCTCTTTCTCAGGAGTTGCAAAGGCTTCATGCATATGAAGTTCACTCAGTCTGCAGACGGACGTTATGTGCTCGGTGAGAACAGCCCTCCCTTCTCCACTATCCCTGAGGTCATCCACTACTATACTACACACAAGCTGCCAATCAGAGGTGCTGAACATGTGTCCCTACTGTATCCTGTCATAGTGCAGACCCTCTGACAGTGACACCCACATCCTCTCTCCCCTGGTGCTACTGAACACAGTATATACATTATCTCTTTCTGACCCTTTCCTACATGATTTTTGACTGCCATTCTACCTGCACTGCTCACTTCAGACTGTTGGGTGCCATCTTTTGCTGTCCCAGTAGCTACACTGACAGCTTAACAAGTGTTCAGTGCCTCATGAACCTACACCTGTGAACCACTATTGTTACTGAAGACTCCTGAAAATAAGTGATCATTAATATTAATTAATAGCAGAGTATTTTAGGTAAAAGATAAGACATACACTCATCTTGAGATTTTCTTGAGACTGTAGAATTTACAGAATATTGCATGGAGATTTGTCTCTATTAGAGTAGTGCAGAGACTGGCTGTACTGCCAACTCATTTAAAGGATAATGGTGAAATTTTCTTTTGGCTTAAGCTCATGCCAGTTCTTTAGATTTATATATATGTATATTTTTGGTTTGTCCCCTCCACAGCCAAAGCTGCAGTTATTTTATGTGAATTTAAAAAAGTGGAGAGTTACACTAGACGTAGACGGTAAAATGTTCTGTTACTACAAGCAACACTAATTATCCTTTATATATTAGTTACAATATCAACAAACACTACATATTTAACTCTGGCCATCTAGGGCTTCTCTGTGTTTCAGAGGCCTGTGAATGTTAAGATACTGTAGCTGCGTGCCCTGTAATGTTCGCCATCATGTTAATATGTGAGCAGTACAAAGTGACAATGTGATGTCAGTCTTGTCAACTTCACACAATAACACACTCCTGCAGTACTATGTTAGAGAATAACTACAGTATTATATGGAAAGTATGTGGCTTTGTGATCACGACAGTTAAAAATAAGCTTTGGTAGGTTATTTACTGTGCTGTTTTATACGACTTTAAATGTCTGAAAATAAAGGTGTCCTTTTTTTATTGCCTGTGCATGGTTTAATATTTCATTGTTTCATTTTAGAACTTTAAATTAATACTTTTGAAACAGGTTTTTCATGACACGTTGGGTTTCAAGTAATTTTGCACAGATTTTAAAGCTTGGGGGCAATTTGGGGATTTAAGGTTCTAGTAGTAATAAAACTGCTGTTTAACAATCTGAGTTGTGTCATGTTCTTCCTTTATAGTTAAAGGTGGTATGACGTTTTAGCTGAAGGTGTTCTTGTTCTTACAGGGTTGCTTTCTGTTGTTTAGGTTAATTAAGGAGTCTGAGTTAAAACATGTCTGCCTCATCTAGTTCTCTTGTATGCCCCAGTTAAAACATTACAGAACAATAACTGGTCAAGATAGTAGCTTAAATTGTAATGTTGAATGTCTCACAGCCACAGCAGAAAATTGTCAATTACAGCTGTATAATACTGATTGATGGGTGCTACCATTGGTTTTACGACTTTGTATTTTATTATCTAATGACAGTAAACAAGACCTGTCAGCTTAGTAAGAAAGTATGGATGTTTATCGTCTGAATAACTGGGAGATATATGACCACGAGAAGGCAGAGCCGGCCATCTTGACCCTCGACATAGACGAGCTCGGATACACTGTAACTAGCAAACATCACTTGATACCCTAGCAACCAGCAGGTGTCGGTGTCACCACAAGAAAACGAGTGACTGCAGGTGTAAGACAGGTAACTTTAACAAAAAGTATCATTGTAAACTGGAATTTTACCTGTTGTTTTGTGTGTTATCTACAAATGCTTTCTCATATGGAAAAGCTGTGTTACCTACATTTGTTACTGGATGTGTGAAACATTTTCTTCATTCGTATCTATGGAGGCTGTGATAAGTGACAGTTGGATGCTGGGGTCATTTCTATTGCACCACGCTCTTCTCCCCCATCAGCACCTGCTATTTCCATGGCAACGCGGACACACATACTCGCTGAGCCTAAACCCAACCAACTGCGATACCCAGACCGGTAGGCTTGATACCCACCCCCATCTGTCTTTCTATTGCCCTCTGTTTCTGATCAGGTCTCCTGTTTTGCAGGCGTTCGGTTTACTGGCTGGATGAGCTACCAGCAGAAAAGACCGGCTCCACCACTAGAACTGGTACAGTTCCCACACTCGCACACTCTTTTTGCTTTATTTACGACCACCCTCTGTGATGCTCTGCACGCTGTTATTTTTTTTATTTACAGAGTTAACCCCTCGCTGGTCAGAGCTATGTAGAAGTAAAAAGCACTACACTCAGTTCACGTAAATATAAGTTCTACTTATGCAAAATACTGCTAATGCATGTGATTTCTTTTTTGGGTGTTTGATACATTTTTCCTCATTTTAATTTTTTCTGGAAAACTATTCATAATACATATGCTTCAGTTTTCACCCTCAGTTTAAATGGACCTTGATAAATTCAGTATAATGTCTGTTTCCACGGCACTAATTCAGCAAGCACAGAAAGAGATAGGTCAGGTGTTTGGCCATTATTTGAATACTGGAGTTTATGCACAAATATGCAGACATGACATTGATAAAGTATATTCATGACAAGTGTTTTTGTGAGTGGGCTGCGGTCTAGGACACACAATGGACCTCATTCACTAATACATGCATAGTAGTGTTCTTACCTTGCCCACAAAATATGTGCTCATGCAGAATTACCATCAGATTCATGACACGTGTACAATGGACAATTTGTTCTCACCACTTTATGTATATTAGTAAATCAGAATTCTCTATACAAGGAAATATGTTTGCCTGGAGGTGCCTTGTGAAGTGGTGCAGTTTCACAAGAGAAGCAGTACAGGACACGACTTGACCCTGTGAAGGTGTCGGGTGAGAGCGGTGTGTCCGATGACTAAGTTGCCGTTCCAGGGAATGGCTGATAAGCCATTTGTCACTCTCTTCAAACATCTTATGTCAGTTCTGGAGATGCAGTCTTATGAAGGAAGGAGCTGCAATATCTTCCAGCATAGCTTCATACGCCATCTTAACACTTGATTGAAGTGGCATCATTATTGTTTATATATCCTGCAGTCTTCTGACAGACTCCAGGTTAACCAGGTGGCTACGTATGCATAATTTCATGGCACTAAAAATTGGTAGGAAGGAAAATTCCAGATTTGTGTGTAAATAGTGTGTATGCATGATATAAACACTGATTTGTGCATAAACACTGTGAATGAGGTCCAATATGATTTGGTGTATAAAACAACACAGCACCTTAAGATCTTTATAAACCGACCTCCCTCTGTCCTCTGGTCTTAACCTTTTATTGTCATTACTTTTTCATCTCCCCCTCATATCTAACTCTCCTCTTTCTCTTCCTGTGTCCTCACTTGTTCACTCTCTCATTTCCTCTCTTCCTAATTTTTACCTCTACCTGTCTTTCCTTCCACAGACGTTCTTCCATATGGGAGGTGAGTGAATGGGCTCTCAGGGCCGTTGCATCCGAGCGCCTGTGTAGTCTGGCTCAGCCTCGGAGTCCTGCAGTTGGCTGGCAGCCAGACCGCCTGCTGCTGGCCCCTGTAAGTAACCCAGACTATTTCTGGATCAGCTGCCATGTACGTATGTGGTACTTGTCTTGAACGTATCTTTTAAACACCGCACCCAGCTGTTTTAGTAAGGCAAGGCTGTCAGCTATTTGAAAAGTATGTGAACTGATCCTGAAGTACTTAGAGATTATCCCAGAGTGTGTCTTAGTTTGTTTTAGGTTTTTTGTTCCCTGGGGGGAACATGAACATCTTCACAAGTTTTCATTTCAATCCATTCAAAGTACTGCACAGCCACTCTGCTCATGTGTCTAAAATATTTAAATGTCACCATCACACTTTTCTGATTTAGTCACTATTGAAAGTGTTGACATGCTCCAGACTGTGGGATGGACCAAGACTGAATGAAATTAATCCAAGTTACATTTGTTTGATTGATTTCCAAGCGCTTGTGTCTGATATTGTGCTTTTTGTGTTCAATACAATCTCGTTCATGACCTAAAATGTGATTGCAGTTGAAGAGAGCGACGCAGACGGCAGTCGCCACTTCACGGGTTTGCCAGCTTGCCCTTCCAAAGAGAAAGCAGGTTCTGGAGAGTTTCCACTACAGTTCTAACCCTGTACTCCTGACCCCCTTGCCCCGCAAAGCATGGGCCCACGTAGAACTCCTTGCCAGTAAGTTAGTCTATACATCATGCAGTGTTGCGGATCATTTTCTGTGCTATTCTGGCATTTTGAGTTTGACATTTTGTGGAGACAGTTAGCTTAGCTTAGCCCAAAGACTGGCAAAAGGAGGAAACATAATTTGTACAAACACTGAAGGCTACTGTAGCTGTTTCCTTGTCTTTATGCTAAGCTAAGCAAACGTCTCCTGACTGTAGCTGCATATTTAATAGACAAATAGGAAAACCCTATTGATCCACTCATCTAACTCTCAGCATGAGCACTAATGAAGCAACTTTTACATTTTTATTGTTATCACTGCATCACACCCTTTTATTTGCTGTTTGATTTAAATTTGATTACTTTATTTTTCAGCCCCTAAGCCTGTCCACCCCTTGTTCAAAGGTGAGCGCTCGGTGTGCTGGCCTGTCTCCAGGGCACTGAGAAACTATGTAGCCAGCCAAAGACTTCTTGAGCTGTCCAGTCCTAAAGAGAGGAAAGCTCTGTTTGAAGGATACGACCCATACATCGTTAGCCGTGCAGCCCGCTCTGCAAGCCCCTCGCCTCGGATACAGCAACTCAGTCTGCCTCTGCCTCGCAAATGTAGCTCAAAGTATGACACCTAGGTCTGGTCTCCGGAGAAGTGTTGATTGTTCTGTTTTTCCTCATCCAAGAGTATCACTGTGATAAAGTAATTCCCATCTACAACCATGACAAAGGCCTATTGTTTGTTCTTACACAAACATGCACATTGTACAGTGGTACATTGGTTTTGGGGCATTAAACAAGACCTGTTGAATCATATCCTGTGGCGCACGGCCTTCTTAAGACTTTTCATCATCAAACCTTTTTTCTGTACATTTGGGGGCCATAAAACAATAAAGAAAAAAATACAATAAATACAAAAGACAATTGGTACAAAGTCAGATACAATACAAAATTTACTTGGAAAAAAATGAATTAGGAGGCAATGGGTCAGCGCTGCAGTGAAATATACTGAAATATGACAGTTCCCAGTTATTCTAGGAACTTATTTAGCCCGTTTTTTTAAAGTGTATACATACATATATATATGTGACTTATTGTTGCAGTTGGAGTCAGTTGCATTGTGGTTGAGTGCCAAAGACAGTTTGGGGAAGTCTGGAAGTTCTGAAACATTTTTTTTTTACCAAAAAAAAAACCAAAAAACAATATTAACTGTTAAATTTGTCATAGCCCTTCAATATGTAATTCAGTAATATAAAATCTACACCAGGCCATATGTATGAAAATGCAATAATTTTGTCAATCAAAATTTAAATGTATCATTATTCCAAGAACTCGGGAACATGTAAATTTACCCTGAAGATCTGTCTGGATAAATCTAGTCATCATCCTTTGGTCTTTGACTATTTTATCACACGCCACCTGAATGCAGTTAAACTCAGCACACGCTGGACAACAGGCAGTCTCTCTAATGTGTCTAAGCGGGTACTAGGCAATCAATATTCAGTGAAGTTGATATTTTAGCCACTAGGTGGCAGCAGAAGCAGTATTTTCAACTTGTGAGCAGCTTCTCTCAACCTATTTTTGTTGCAGTTTTGGCCCCATGTTCACCAGTTTTCACATACCTCTGTGTAATACTTAACATTCTATGTATATGTCACAGAATCATGGGTAATGGCTGAATTTGAAGAAGAATCTTTTACCATAAACAAAAACAGGAATGTAAAACTTTCCTGCTCCCCACACCTCTTTTGTAGTAAATTTCAGGTTGGCATGTAAAATGACTGGCTTTAAAGAGCAGTAGTGTACCTAGGGGCCTTTTTGAGTGCCCAATCTGTACAAACATCACCAAAATGGCTAAAATGTGATTATCAATGTTATAAGAAATAATCTTCAAACATTAAATTTAATGTTTTGGCTTTTGTTTTGTCATCTCAGAGTATGAAGCTGCCTGTAGTACTGTACCAGAGAAGCCAGAAATCAAATATGCTGAAGTTATTTTTCTTGGTGAAAGTGTGCTGCAGAACTATGATTCGGATCAGGACATCAGCTATCACAGCGTCTGCACTCCTCAAACACTGCATGCCTCTCATCAGTATGCTCCGCTCCCAGTTTCAGGGTCTCAGACACTTCAAAATACCAGAATGTCAGAGAAGAAGCTCATCAGGAGCCCAACCAGAACCAAGACGACCTCCAGCATGGATCTCACCACCTGCTCTTCAATCTACTCCAACATCCTTTTTTCTTTGGCACAAAAAAAAAATCTTCCTACACTCATCATGGCTCCTCCTTATTGCCAGTCCAGCACTGGCAGCGTTAGTGGCATCAGCTGCCTGAGGGCAGGAGCACCACAGGAGCCGATTCACCTCTTTCTCCAACTGATGACCTGACAACCTTTTGTGATTTTTATGAAACTGCATCAAAGCAATATTTCCTTCTTTGACTTCACAGGTATTTCTCAATCCACCATCTTGCTTTCTCACCTGTCTGAGATCACTTCAGCCAAACACCCAGCCCGACACCTTCGCTCCAGGGTGTACCCTGCCTGTTGCCCAATGTCAGCTAGGATTGGCCCCAGCCCCTCGCGGCCCTATTTAGGAATAAGTGGTAATGGATGGATGGATAAATAACATAAAATGCTGCCTGCAACGTTGTCTTCTATACAGCTGATAAATGTGCCAAAGAATGGGTGAGCATTCCTGTGGAAGCTCAGTATTCAAGTTAAGTGCTGTTTTTTATTCTCCAGCCCTAATCTACACTATCGCCCAAGCAAAGAGCAGATATTTGGTGACTTGACACACAGTATCTGTATTGTATTTGCTCAGGTTATACAGAGACTGGTCCAACTGGTTCAGTAGGCAAACATATCTGAGAGCCAGGCCCACTGTTACAATTCTACCAAGGCTGTCAATCATAAGAAAATTACACCAATAATGACCCCTCTGACTCAGAAACAGTACTGTCAGCAATGCCAATGTAAATTCTGTATGGGTGCAGGAGTGAAGGCCAGTCTACGGGGTCATCAGATGGGAACCCTCTCAATAACTGCTACTACAATACCAATCCTAATTGGAAAACAGCACTTCACTTGAATGCTGAGCTTCCATAGGAATGCTCACCCATTCTTTGGCACATGTTATTGTGTATTATCAGCAGTTGCATAGTTTATACTGATTTCCATTTATGAATGTGCTACTATGCCACTAAATCCAACTTAAAATGTTTCTGGAAGCTCTACTTTTGGGATGTCTGGGGTTTTAATATGTGCATGAATTTTCACTGGGTAGAAAAAAAGACATTTTATGAAAAGAGGACTAACTTTGATGTAACCAAATTAACACTTGAAAATAAAAAAAACTAATTTGATTTTTATGCCGGGTGGCACAGTAGATCAGTGGTTAGCGCTGTTGCCTCACAGCAAGAAGGCGCTGGGTTTGAGCCCTGGCCTTTCTGTGCAGAGAGTGCATGTTCTCCCTGTGCCTGCGTGGGTTCTCTCCGGTTGCAGTCCAAAGACATGCAGCTTAGGTTGAGTGGAGGCTCTAAAATTGCCCATAGGAATGAATGCGAGTGTGTGTTTGTTTACATGTCAGCCCTGTGATAGACTGGTGACCTACCCAGGGTGGACCCAGCCTCTCACCTAATGCCAGCTGCGATAGACTCCAGCCCCCTGCAGTCCTATTCAGAAATAAGCAGTATAGATAATGGATGCCACATAATAGAAGAGTGACATATTTACATTTTGAACATTACAATTTGACCTTGTGAGAGTTCTGTTATTTGCCCCATGTTGCTTTGAAACCTCACATACCTCAATTTAGACCTCTTTCATTTCACTGCTGCTGCTGTAACTGGAATTCAACCTTGCAATGAGCCACATTTGTAGCAGTGCAAATTATGATTACTTCAGAGTTGATGGAGTTTTTTTCCAGTTTATATTATTTGTAGGTTTGAGCATTAAAATATGCATTCCAATGCATGAGCCACCATTTCACCATTAAAACAGTAACAATGCTGTGTAATGATTCAGTCATTTTCATATATGTACAATTTATTTAGTATGTGTGTAAAATATTGAATAGGACTTTTTCACAGCATATATTCTGACATCATTTTTATTATTATTATATAGTATACGCTGACTTTTAACAGCAGAGGTCTCACACTGTGGTTAAAAAAATCTAAGGTTAAATAGTTTGATTCTCAATGAGGACGAAAGTATCTGAAGGGTATTCACGGTGTTTTAGGGCTAAAAAATACCCCAACTTTTCAGATTAATACAGTGGGGGTAAAATTCAAATATTTTTAGTTTTAAACGATAATCAAACTTTTTAATCTGCCAATAGCAAACCTCCTACTAGTTTGAAATATCTGTTGTTAAACGTCATGTTGCATTTGAGGTGAAATGGGCCGTGCCATGCCTTTACCATAAACTTTAAGCACATGTTCCCGGTGTTGTGTCGAAATCTGTTTCCCCATCGAGATGTGTTTGCCCTAACAGGAACCTCTCACAACTACTGAGGGGGGCGATACGTGAAACCGAGTTTTTAACGGAGGGGGACAACATCTCGACGGGGAAACACAAGACTTGTTCAGGAACTTTTCATGTCACTGCTTGGATTAGTTTATCCATATCCAGGTAGTGAAGAGAAAGCGTATGTAAGGGGAGGGGGAAGGTCTCCCTCCAGTTCGCAGGAAGGATTTCGGGAAGCCATCCAGTTTTTGGTGCGTTGCTTATGCGGAAAGACGCCTCCACCCTGTGCGTAAAAAGCAAGACGACAGCCAGGACGCAGCTGGTGTTGCTCACCTGCAACAGACAGGTACACAGAACTGCGGAGCCGGAAGAAGGAACAGGTCGGCTTTTACTGGTAGTAGTTTTTTGTTTGCATAGTTTCTTAGATACAACTGCTGCCCCCGGCTTTTAGGAAACACGATTTATTTATGAAAGTGCAGCGGCATTCGAGGAAACATGGCAGAGCAAAGAAAGAAGCTGCTTCTGATCTTGGCGGACATTCTTTGTGTACTTGTTGGTGAGTAACTTGTCCATCCCTTCTGACAATATGGCTAAAAAATCTGATTGTGTAATGTTCTAAAGTTCATATAGGGTGTGTTAACCTGTGATACTGTGCAGCAGATTAAGGAATAAATCACCGACGTGTGAAAAAAGACATTTTAAAGGTTTTCCTGGTGACACGCACACCTGATTTATATATCTGTTACACAATTCACATGTTGCTTTATTGCTTTTCCTGCAAGATTAGAGCTTACTAACTCCTCTTCTAAATTTCACGATCTAAATTTAAAACATGTAACTTGCACAATGCTCTGTTGTACAAAGAACCCTGGCAGACAAATGACTGGCACTGATGGTGTGCTCTGCAGTACAATTAAGTAAATGGAAGTTATTCTTAGCT